GAAACCAAGTCACGGTCTCCGAGCTTCCTTTCTCGACGGACACGACAGGCACAATTAAACAGAAGAGGGAAAAATATGAGACAGGTTTGGTAAATTTTAGAGAACGATTCATTTGGGGGACTTTGTCTGAAAATTTATATAGAAGAATTAGTGACATGAGCTTCCCTCTGAAACAGGGAAATGAAGCAATGGTGTTTTCATCCCACAGTCACTCTTCCTGACGTGAAACAATGCCTGGTTTACATGCTCAGAAATCTCTTATGTGCCCATGGAAAAAAATGTCTAGCCAACATCAACTAATAATAGATAGGGGAAAAAAAAACCTAACAACGCTGCAGCATAAATCATTGCTCTTTCACATGAACCCATTTTTATCCCTATCTTTCCCCAAGAGGCAAAGGAATATATTAAGAGAACAGTATTAGAAAGTGATTAAGTGCTGAAAAGCATTTGCAGCTCCCTCTCCTTCCATATGTGAGAGAAAAAGCAGTGACAATCATGAAGTGAAATAACTTCCTGCATGTTAATCAGAAGTGGCAGCTATTTAAGCCCTGATTTTAAAAACCTAATATTTAAGTTCCTGAATCAAACCCTGGAGACATCTGTTCCATAAGGCTGCAGGGAGTCCCCACCTGCAAAAGTGAGGTGGGGGAATCATTTCTCCATTACTTCTGGAACAATAATCAGACAACAGCTTTAAGTACTCTTCAATTTACTTACCATTAATCTTCAGATGGGGCTTCCTGAACTGCTTGCGTCTTAACTGGTATTCTTTTGAGTTGGTTTCCAGTCTGTTCCTTTCTCACGTCCTCTATATCCTCCCTCCCTCCTTTCAAAAGCAGCAGAGACTAATTTTATTTCTGAGCTTTGTAAGCTATTTGGAGAGCTTTTTGAAGGCTTAATTGCAGAGTAAATGATACTTTCATTTACTGAAAGTTGCTGATAAGATTTGAATCCTTGGCTGCTTTGCAATTCATAAAACTGCACGTAGATATAAACAGAAATTGGATCGTGTGATCCCTCCGGGTTTGCTCTTAAAGGAATTAACAGGGACCCTGTTACTCCTTGGAATAATCTTGGTTTTTCTCCTGGGAGTCCACTTGAATTTCTTGTGTAAGAGTTGTGTCAAGGACTCTGCTCTCTGCTTATAAGGGAAAGGTGGTCTTAACAGACTTCCTGTGTTTCAGCATCTCAAGTAACCTGCCCATATACTTTCCTTGAGCAAAAATATAAAAAATGAACTTGAGAGTTAATCCTTAGAGATGGGGGACAAATTAGTTTGGCTGGCATCTTTGTACCAATTTACCTAATCTAAAGCGGAAAATAGGACCCCTCAATTGTTTTAGCTGTTAGCAATCAGTCTGAGATGTCACTTTGCCTTATGACTTTGCCACGAATGCTTAATATTGTATTTTTCTCTCCTGTTTCAGATTACTCCTTGACTAGTGCCGACCTGTCAGCCCTGCAGGGGTTTAACTCCCCAGGAATGCTGTCATTAGGACAAGTTTCTGCCTGGCAACAGCATCATCTAGGACAGGCGGCTCTCAGCTCTCTTGTGTAAGTAGGAGGCCGTTCTTGCAGCTTCCTTGGATTTGCCGCCTAATTCCCAGTGGGAACCCCACAACCTCCGATTGTGTTTGAGTTGATTCAATTCAGGGCAGTTTTCTTTACTTTCTAGCTTTTGGATGCGCATGGTTATTTTCTTGGGAGGAATGCCGATGTATGACTTGCAAAACTCCTGCATTTTTGCAGGTTTAAGGGAAAAAAATCATGTCACCACACCACAAAAAAGATGTTGAGACTCTGAAAGAGTGCAGAGAAAAGCAGCAAAAATGATTAGGGAACTGGAGTCTAAAGCACGTGAAGAACGGTTGCAGGAACTGGGCATGGCTAGTCTAGTGAAGAGAAGGACCAGGGGAGATAGGATAACAGTCTTCCAATATTTGAGGGGCTGCCACAGAGAGGAGGAAGGGGTCAAGCTATTCTCCAAGGCACCTGAAGGCCAGACAAGGAATAATGGATGGAAGCTGATGAAGGAGAGATTTAACCTAGAAGGAAAATTTTTCTGACAGTGAGGACAATCAACCAAGGGAACAGAAGTTGCCTTCGGAAGTTGTGGGAGCTTCATCACTGGAAGCTTTCAAGAAGAGGCTGGAGTGCCATCTGTCAGAAATGGCGTAGGGCAGCGGTTGCCAACTAGTAGGCCATGGCCCACTGGTGGGCCGTGAGAAAATTTTGGTGGGCCACAGAGAAATCTTAGCCCCAGAGCACTCCCCCCAAAGCAATTACTCCAGGCTGTACAGAAACACAAGGCTGCGCTGCCCACATGGCCCACGGGAACCCTCCCCACCCACTTACTCCTTACCTGGCAAACTTGCCTGCTAAGTTGCTATTTTTCCTTTTTTCCCCCCCCCCAACCATCATCTGTTCTGCTGTGCTGGGAGATTTAGATTAGCTAGGAAGCAGAAAATGGTTGGATTTCTTGCTTTCTAGCTAGTCTTTAGATCTTCGGCTCTGCTTTCCTTAAGACTGAAGGTTTGCTTGCAAGCAAATTCAGTGCAGACACATGGCAAGCAAATTTGAGAGACCGAGCTAGCCGATGGCAGATAGATAGATCACTGAATGATTCTGTGAGCAACTCAATCTGCCTTCTTTGCCTGATTTTGGGTAAAAGTTGCTCTTTTTTTAAAATAAAAAATTCAATATTTACATGCATGGTGTGTTGTGAGTTAATTTTATGAGTTTGCTTGCAAGCAAATTTTATGTGACACACTGAGCTAGCCAATGGCAGATAGATTTCTGAATGAATGTGATTCTGTGAGCAACTCATTCTGCCTGTTTTGCCTGATTTTGGGTAAAAGTTCCTCTTTTTTTATAAAAAAAATTCAATATTTATATAAATATTTATGATATTTACATACAAGCCATGCCCAGCCAGTCACATGACCACCAAGCCACACCACAAATTAGGCCACACCCACAGAACCAGTTAGTGGTCTCTGGGATCTAAAATTATGAGTTTGGTGGTCCCTAAGGTCCAAAAGGTTGGCAACCCCTGGTGTAGGGTCTTCTGCCTTGGGCAGGGGACTAGATGGACTAGATGACCTACAAAGTCCCTTCCAACTCTGTTATTCTGTTCTAAAATTTTCAAAGGAAATCTTGTATTCCCCTCTCACACCCTGTCATTCTCCAGTATTTTTCTCTTCCTTTCAAAAAACATCCAAGAGAAATGGAACAGCCTATAATAATTTTTTTTTTGTAAATTGCCAGAAGCCATGAAAAACAAGACTCGGTTTAATTTCGTTACAATTTCCTATAACTGGGTTAAAATCAAAATTCTTAACACACTTCTTTTGACTCAAAAGACTAAAGAGTGGTTTTGAAAATTACAGTTAGTCCTCAATTTACAACCATCCATTTACTATCTGTTCAAAGTGATTAAAAATGCAAGTACATAATTTTCCAATTACTCTTTTAATTCATTTAATTTCATTTAATCCATTTTAATTCATTTGAAATATAAGAAATACACGTGATATTAATATGTGGCAGTAAAAGCTGGTTACTAATAGAACTCCTCTCATTTTTGAATGAACAAGCTTCCCACACTGCCCTAAATCATAATCTGATTTATTTCCTTTGGCTTAAGGGATAAGTCCACCCAACCTGGTGTAGTATATTCAGCCAATTCTGCTGATGAATGTTAATTGATCAATATGACATGCAAACAAGTTGATTTTTTTTTTTAAAGACTGGGTCTCCCTGCTCGAAATATTTGGAGAATACCACAAATAATACAGCTGAATTTTAGAGGAACTGGGCTTGTTGTCTCCATGTTGTCACATTTGCCCTTCATCTTCACTAGTAATGCACAAACACGCACACACACACACCACATACCCTCCCGATTTCCATTGGCTTGACTAAACAAGGTTGAGCCTTGGTGGCGCAGTGGTTCGAATGCAGTACTGCAGGCTACTTCTGCTGACTGCAGGCTGCTGCCTGCAATTTGGCAGTTCAGATCTCACCAAGCTCACCAGCCTTCCATCCTTCCGAGGTCAGTAAAACAAGGACCCAAATTGCTGGGGGGGGAAGGCTGACTTTGTAAACCACTTAGAGAGGGCTGTAAAGCGGTATATAAGTCTAAGTGCTATTGCTCTTGTTGTGGGGAAAATAAGAGGATGGAGGGGTGTAGGATATTTTTGTCACCTGGAGTTACTTGTAAAAAAATAACACAGATGGGATATAAACCAAACAAACATCCCATTCTAATTTCTTGGATGCAAAGTTGGGTTTCCTAAACGTTGGCTCCAGAAAACCATGATTTTTCTTCTCTCTTTCTCTCTCTCTCTCCCCGCCTTATACTCCCCACCCTGGCTTTAATTAGAACGGGAAGCCAGTTATCCCAGGGTTCCAGTTTATCCATCAACACCAATCAAAATCTTAACATTAAGTCCGAACCAATTTCACCTCCTCGAGAAAGGGTAACCTCGTCCACGTTCCAGTCGCAGCCGCAGGCATCTCAACCGCCGCAGCCGCCACCTCTCCAACCGTCGCGGCAGGAAATGGGCCGCTCCCCGGTGGATAGCCTGAGTAGCTCCAGCAGTTCCTACGACGGCAGTGACCGGGAAGACCCCCGGGGCGACTTCCATTCTCCGGTGGGGCTGGGGAGGCCCCCCACTTCAGAAGATCGCGAGAGCCCGACGGTCAAACGGATGAGAATGGATGCCTGGGTGACCTAAACCTGCTGTTTCTCCACATCGGGTGTCCGCTTTTGAGTGACCCCCAACCCCCAACCCCCCCAATGAACAGTCCTAACATATCTAAATTTATAAATAAGGACCTCAATAAATATTTATATGTGTATATATATATATATATATATATTATATTATATATATATACATGCATATATATATCTTTGTATACATATATATGTGTGTGAATGTGTAGCAAGACACAAGAAGAGAAAACGGGCACTTAACACCAATGTTTTTATATGGTTGCAGATGCCCTTGTGGGTTAAACAAGTATAACAGAAGATTCCCCCCCCCTTACCCCCCCCCCCCCTTCTCGTAGGCCTTGGCCTCAACCTGGCACTTAACTTTGCTGGACTTTGTACTTGGTGGTGCAAAAGAAATATCTTCCCCCTTATATCAACTATCCACTTAGATGGCTGAACCGTCAGGGCCTGCCTCTAGTAGTGTTCCTGTGTGTGTTTTTTTTAACAATTGTGTGGTTTCCTGTAATTAAAATTATGCTTTGTAGCAGCAGAGCAGTAGAAAAAAGAAAGCAATACTGTACATAGGATGACCTCTCTCTAACCCAGTCTAGCATGGGTCTCCCTTGCAAAGAATGCATGGAGAAGGGCTGGTATTATTTAAAAAAGAAAAAGAAAAAACACACACACTCAAACTCCTGTTTTTGCACGTGCAAAACAGTGCTGGGTTCTGATAAGATTTTTTTTTTCTGGGCGGGGGGGGAGAACCACATGAGACAGACTCATGAAAAATACGCATGAAATCTTCAGAAGATGTTAGCCTATGAGATATCTTTAAAGAAAAAAAAAGAATTAATATATTAAGTTATAATTGGAATATGTTTTAAAAGCTTTCTTATGTTAATCGTACCTTTTTTAAAATATAGAGAACCAATTTTAGCTCGTGTATATTTTTTATTAAAGAAAACCATACGTCCCTTGAAGACTATATAGAAAGTTATATATGTACTTTTGAACACATTCTGCTATGAATTATTTATACAAGCCAAAGTTGAATGGTGTAGCTTTTTTTTTTTTTTTTTTTAATTTGTAGAGTATACTTCTAACTTGATTTTTGACTGTATTGTTTTTATTTTCGGGGAGGAAGGAAAAAAAATTGCAGGCAGAACCTTAGGGAAAAATAAGCCATGAATATTCTTTATGTAAATTAAAATTTGAGCCAAATTTTGTGTATATAGCATCTTAAATATATGATCACCTTTTGGTGTAAGTACGTATGTACTGTACGTTCACCAGATTAAAAAGTATATTTTTGTGGATTGACGCCAACTTGAAGAAAAAAGAAGAAAAGGCGAGGTCCTTATTAGTAGAGTATTCACTGTTTAATATTTACTATTTTGTTCAATATACTGTACTTTCTTTTGGATTTAATTAATATTCAGATTTTTTCAAAGGGTGTTTTTAAAAGGGGTTGTCCCCTTCACTGGTGGTGAATGTGTTTGTTCAAATTGTACTCTTTTTTTTGTGCTGTATAGTAAAGCTTCCCTTACACGTTTTATAAATATATACACACAGAGACACACACACACACACACACACACACACACATATATATATATGAATGATATGATATGTAATAT